ACCTGAGCTCATTCCTGTGACATTGATTCAGCAGCTTGGTGCAAACCCACTCCCCACAGGATCCTGTTGTCTGGGCATCCTGCAGCTGACCCCACTGCCCTCAGCACCCTCAGCATCCCCGAGCCTGTACCTGCTTGTTCACAGCCAAATTCAACAGGGCTGGGTCCTGCCACAGAGCAGCTGCTTCCAGAGCTGGAAATGCACAGCTTTCTCCATGCTTTAACACCCTTTAAAAAAAAAATCAAAGCAGATGGAGCTGGACTACAAGCAGCTCAGTGTCAGCCCTGATTAGATAATTCTGTTGGGCATTTCCCCACTTGTGACCTCTGCTCCTGAGAGCTTTTAAAGGGATGTAAAGATGGAATTTCACTTATCTTCAGAGCCATTTCCTTCTGAGTGCTGCTATTATACCTCAGATGATATGAAACAAAGGATATTAAAAGACAGATTGAATTTTCACTCTGATCCAGTCTGGGAAAACAAAGGAGTTAAATTAGTGATTTGCTTCTCGTGCATCAGCCCAGTGTCTCAAGCAGCCACTGTGTCCTGCACATTCCTCCTTGCACCACACATGGGACACCCCACCCTCCTGCAGGAGCAGCTCTGTGTGTTTGCCATCTCTGGAGGCTGCTGTTGTTCCTGTTGCTGGTGAAGATGGAAATGTGTTTATCTGTAATCACAATCCAGTGTCCTTGTCCTGGGACACCAGTAGCACATGTATTTTGTCTCCAGCAGGTACACATCTCCTGACCTCTGTGGGCTGGCCCCGTGCTGGTTCTGTGGAGGATGTGAAGCTGGAAAAGCTTTGGGATCTCAGTTCTGGAGACATCATCTTGGACTTTCAGTTCAGAGTCTCCCTGCCCAGGTCCTGTGTGCCAGCCCTGAGAGCAGTCCTGGGAAGTGCCACAGGGCAGGACACAACCCTCAGCAGCAGGCTAGTGAGCCTCCTCCATTTGCGTGTAATTGCAGCTTTTCTTTTGCTTGGACGTTTTGGAAAATCATCATGTTTTGCAGTTCCTACCTTTTTGCCAGCAGATGACAGCAGTAGAACTGAGGTGAGGGGTGATACCTGTAGATGTTTGGGGCTTTGGTGATCCCAGGTGACGGTGTTAGTGTCACTGGGCTGCCACTTTGGGCCCGAGTGGAGCCCAAATAGCAGCAGTCCCTCAGATCACTACCCAGAGGGGATATCTAAGGGTGGTTCTGAAGGGCACATCCTGTGCCTGAGATTTTTTCCAACACTGCTGCCTGCCTGGCTGCTCCCTGCATGTGCTGCAGTGGTGTTGCTGAGCCTGTAGAGGAGGAGACATCCCTCCTGCCCTGCACACAGACCCACAGCCCCTCCTGGCTTCAACCACAGAGGCAGCTGCCCCAGACAGGCACAAAGGTCTGCACAGGGAGCCAGTCCCTTCTCAGGGCCTGCCTGGGGCAGATTGCTGCTCCTCCACCAGCTCCTGGGCTGTGGCTGCCACCAGGACTGCTGTGCAGAGCTCAGTGAATGCAAGGCTCTGCTTCTCTCAGCCCTGTGAGACCAGAGAGCTCTTCAATCCTGACCTTCAAACTTCATCTCCCTTCACCACGGTTTCCTTTGACTCCTGTTGCTGCCCAGATTTTCTCAACAGCTGTCCTCTGCCTCGCTGGCTTTGTGCCCAGATCAATCTCTCTGCAGCTGTGCAGTGCCCTCCTCACTGCCCAAGGTCCTCCTTGAGTCCCTGCAGCCTCCATCCCCTGAGACCAAGGGCCTGATGGAAAGAGTTCAGGGCACCTCCAGCTTCGCTGCCATGGAGTGAGAACTGTAGCACTTGGACTATTTCTATCTATTTCTATTTCTATTTCTATTTCTATTTCTATTTCTATTTCTTTATATATTTATATATTTTTATATATATATATTCTATTCTAAACCCCCCAAGCGCAAACAGGGCTTGGTAAATAATATTGTGATGAAGGGGTTTAGATGGAAGAGATCTGACAGCCCCCATTGAATGTGGTCTGAATGCACAGCCCTGTTCCCTCTCCTCCCTGTATTGCAAGCCCCTGCTCCTTAGGGCATAAATTACTTACCCTTCCCTATGGAATTGAAAGCATGGTTAATTCACCAGCATGTTCCTGCTGCCCAGCAAAAAATTATGGCTGTCTCTGTCCTCCCCTGGCTAGCAGAGCTGCTCAGTACCTCTACCTGCCTGGTGGAGGGGAGCAAAAGCTTTTATTTTTCAGGTGCTCTGCTTATTTCTGAGTCTTAGGTCTTATCTGTCTCTTCAGTAGGACAGGCAAAGTGCAAATACTGAAATATTTGCAAGTGGGAGTCAGAATTAATGCCCAAACACCTTTGCTGTAGTAGCTGGAATAGCTGGCTGCAGGAAGCAAGTGGGGATTTCCTGGTCTGAGTTCCTCCTGCCCATGTGTGACTTTGTTTTAGAGCAGCGACTCACACTGGGTATCTCCTGGGTCCCATCTGGAGCCTGAGTGGGAAATTGTGCTCCTAGCAGTATTCTGAGATGTAAAAATCACTAGTGTGGAATGGCTGCAAAGGATGCTCAGTGCACAGGGAGCAGGCTGAACAAAATATGTCCTCAGGGCTCACCAGTGTGTGAGAGAGGCAATGTGATGTGTGATTTTTGGGCTATTATTAATTCAACAAAGAGTGCAGTGGGGCTCAGTGGAAGACTCAGGCTGGACCTGCAAAAGCCTCTATAACATTATTATATAGAGCACTTCTCCCTGGGAGGGATCCAAAGCATCATTTGTGGATGTGGATTCTTTTTATAAATCATGGGGCACATGATGGGCCACATCCACTTAGGCTGCCTCTTTTGCATCCTTCCTGGAAACTCATCTAATAAGAGCTGGCATCTGGGTGTTCAAACCTTGATGTGTTACCGGTTGTTAATTGCTGGCAGTAGAAGTGCTTCTTTTCTGCCTTGAAATGTGGAATCCCTTCCTAGAATTGCACTGGGGACTAATAAAAGCCACTGCCAGGTTTAATAGATTCTATCTCTCAAATTATCTGGATTAAATACAAGGACTGTGTACTGCCAGAGAGGGGATATTCCCAGTTTAACATTGCTTCTGGGACTTGGAGATCCCAAGACATTGGACCTGAAAATTGTGATTCTCCTTTGTGTGGAGGACGGGTTTGGCAGGAGTGCTTGGAAGTGGTCATATTTGCCTGAGTTAGAGAATTAATTGCCATAAAAACTATGGTTTTGTAACCAATAGTTACAGCTGCAGGAAAGATCAGAAAGCATCTAAATAAATCAAATTAACTACCTCCTGCTTCATCCATATGAGAGCAGAACCTTCCAGGGCAGGATTTAAACCACAGGCTGGTTGGTCCTTAACTCTCTCCTCCACTGATTGAGGAGAGTGAATAGTCAGAAACAGGATCAGCTAAAGCAGGGCTCGGTGGGGCTGCTGTGCTGGGGTATGGGGGAGGCTGGTGTGGCATTCACAGGTGCTCTCAGTCAGGGATGGGCAAACCCAGCCAGAAGCGATGAGGAGGCAGCTGGCTCCTGTAAAACATCACAGATCAGAGGCTGTGGGGCCGTGTGGTCCAACACGCTGTTAACGGGCAGGCAGTGGTGCTGGTGGTTGTTTCAGTAGCCCACCTTGCCTGGCTGGTGTTGGTGATGCCCAGGCAGGCTCACTTCCCCCTCCCCGGTGGTTCCTGTCTCACTCCGCTGCTCTTCTCCTCACGAGCCCGAGGATGATGAAGCGAGTTCCAGCCCCCGCTGCCCTTGCAGGCTTGCCCTGCTCCGCTGTGTGCGGCGGGGAATGCCAGCCCTGGATCTGCCTCTGGCTTTGCCGCTCCTCCCTCATTCCCAGC